AATAATTTTCAGCTCAAAAAGTAGTTTTAGCACCCCATGGTATCTGCTTGGATGACAGAGATACTGTTACAGCTGTTATACACATGGATGGCATGTTATACTCGTCTTGCCTCTCAACTAGGCAAGACTTTGTTCCTCCAGCGTGCTGTGGGGATAGACACCAGCTTGTCTCGTCCCCAGTCACAATCTGTGAATGAGGTCCTTGCTGGTAACTGGCTCTCAAAACTATGTGACTCCACTATACAGAATTAAAAATGATAGAGAAACACGCTGAAACATCGAGCAGCGCTTTGCAGGAGCATTTCTGGAACTTGTTGTTAAGTTCTTGGTTGTTTGGGCAGAGTAGTAGCACAACAAAATCTCAGCGCTGTCCAAACACTGCCATTTTGAAGCTTCATTTTCTTTCAGTATCACAGGATTTTCAATAACTGGGTTTGTTGGGTTTTTTTTTGTACTAGTGGCATCATATTTTGAAAAAAATTACCTCCTTTAAATTCAGTGGAACAAACCCATCAGGCTATCACAGAATTGTTTTGAAGATGTGTTTTATAAGAGTCTTCCATTATGCCTCAGTTCATTTTAAAATCTCTGATTGATTGCTGCTGAGCTTTCTTTGGGCACCCATGTCTTACTTTGCTTATAAGGGAGGAAGGCTTTCCCAAGCATCTCTAGTTTACTCAGGAAACACATTAGATGTGAAACTGAAGAGATGTACACCACTGAAATATTCATAGCCAGTCTAAGGCTGTTGAATGAGGCAATTTATACAATCAATACAACAACTTTGTACTACTGCATTGTCACTTTGGCATTTGCTTTTATGCTGTGCTGTAAATAATCCTGCTGGGTCATCATATTATAGAATAAATTACAGGGTAGGATCCAATTAAGAGCTTGGGCAGCACATCAAACCTTTAAGTACTCACCTTTGCAGAGCAACCTGGAGTCCTGAGGTAGACATTTAGACTCTTTATCTGATGCCCAGGAAGAGTTAGGACTGAATGCAATCCAAAATACCACTACCTGAGGTGACAGCCAGCTTGCATCTGAGTCAAAGAGATGCTTATAGCTAATGTCTGAGGCAAACAGAATACACAGGAAAACCTTAGCCATGCTTTTGCTTGTCATTTTGCAGGGCTCTGGCAGCTTGAATTCACTGCCAGGAACCTCACTTAGGAGAATAACTGATTTTTTTTGAAGAACTGAGAATGGTTTGTCATTTTCTTTTAAAACATGTTTATTGGAAGACATTATAACTTCCTATCCTCACATACACAAGCAACCAGTTTTTATTCTCTTGTTTGCTTTTTATTGAAATAAAGCAGCTGTGGCAGAAGGAAGAGGTTGGTTTCAGTTCCCTTCTCCAACTGATCTAGTCAAAACTCTCTCACTCATCTCTTTTCCAAAAGCTCAGTTATTATTAGTGATGTGGTGTGACTGTGGTGGGAAGAAGCTGTATTCTCCAGCTTTTCTGCCATAGTTCTATGAGTTGCACTTAGTTCCCCCACAGAGAGGATTTGATATTTATTGGATCAGAAAAAGATTAGGATTTTGTTATCTAATGGCCTGGAAAAGGAAGAAAGAGGGAAGTGTTCTTCTATTTTCCATCTGAATGTTGCTTCCTGTGAAGTTTGGAGGAGGAGACTGAACCCTGGTCTCTCCGGTCCTGCACAAGTGTTTTCGTCACTGCGTCAGTCAAAATGCTGACCTTCTGTGCCTCCTCTAGCTGCATTTGAGTCATATTTTGCGTGGATATAAAGTCTGCCTGCGCATGTTAGAAAGCACGCTATGAGAGTACCTGCGTGACAGATTTCCTGTGGGAGCGTAGGGGAACACTGCCTGTGTCCTCTGTTCTGCCTGGTCACAGGTTGGCTTCAGGCTGCCAAGTCATTTTCATGGTCTCTTTGGCCTGGTTAAGGGAGAAGTTCCTCTCCCCTTAACCAGGACAAGCACTGATGAGAAAATAATCAATAAGCTTTATATTAAGGGAAGAACAGAAACCTAATAATGATTTTAACTTGCATATTTTGCTTCAGAATTCAGCTGTGCATTATAGGCAAATTTGCATGAGATTTTAGGTGCTTGCAGTGAGTTTCAGCAGAAAGTAGGCACCTGAATCCAAAACCATCCTCTTGAAAAAAGTTCCTGAGATGCCTAACCCAACCAAGGAAGTTTTACCAGATCACACTGAAAACGCTTCCCAGGCAGGGCACTACAGGCAAAGTGGCAGCAACGGCACTGCTTTATTCTGAATCACGGGCAAAGCAGGAGCCACACTGGGCTTTGAGCAAAAGAACTCATTTGTGATGTGGGAAACGTGTGTTCAAGTACTTTTTTTTCATGTAGCTTCAAACTCCTGTCACCCACCTTCTAGTGATATGAAATAATTCAATTTTCTATGAGTGAAATATTTAACACAAGATCTATTGAGCTGGAGACAGAGAGCAAACAAAAGCTTGATCCTGCATTGTACTAATTTAGACACCCATCTTTTGTGGCAAGTGTATTACTGTTTTGGCTCAAAGAACTTTTTTTCTTTTTTTTTTAGGCATTTGACACCTAATTCACTGTTGACCTTTATATTGCACTCTTGCTTTGGAATATTCATGTCTGGGAGAATCCTTAGATAGTGGACTACTAAAGAGAACATGTGCTTAGCTCTACAGGTTTCAGCTTTCTCATAATAGCCAGTCCACTATAAGCAACAGGGTGCTGGTGCACACTTTTTGCATGCTTTTGAAATTCAGGAGATATTTTGCGTATTATTTTTTTTTTCAGTTTAATGGGAATGAAGAGAACTGGTGTAGTCTAATGCTCAAGCAGTGTGCCAGACCAACCTTCTTGGGGCTGAAGGCTAAAATCCTCTCCTGACACACATGACAGAAAGGGAGGTGGAGGGCCATGCTAACTTCCTCACTATTCAGTTTGCCTTCTGTTATTTCTGAGAAGTCGATGTTAAGGTTTAAAACAGGTGCCAGATATGTGGCCAACATCTACTCTTTTCACAGGGCTGGAAGTCAGATGACAGTTAAAATTAAGAGTGTGTTTGTGTTCTGTTCCTGAACATGTGGATGCACCCCACCATTGACTTGTTTCCCTCATGGGAGCCCCTGAAGTCCCAGTTTATTTGGACACACCATTTCAGCTTCACTTTCTCAGTCATGTGCAAACCTTTCAAAATGTAGCACATTCTACCTAATGCACCGTATTATATGTGTGAATTTATGTGTATAGATGTGTGCATGTATGTATTTTCCAAACAATGCTGGTGTGTTCTTAGCACACACTGCACTGTCTGGTCCACAGTGTTCCTTCATGACTGTGGTATTAATAATGCAGGCTGAAGTAATTCATCCTTGCATTCGGAACTGGATAAATAAAATGGTGCTCATTTATGGGTAGCCTTAAGTGCTTTGTGATGGTTTCACTGCAGTTAAACTATGGTAATGATAACCTTTTAGAGCTGTTTTTTTTTAAAATGCAATGCAGTACACTTTCTTACAAATTCTGGGATGTCTCTTGCAATAAGAGACATATTTGGTGCTTGTCGCCAGTTGGAGACAATCTGAGAAACAAACCCATCTCAAACTCAATTTAGAAATGCAAATAACTATCTAGAGAATTGTAATGCCTGGCTTTTATAATTTATTTAAATTTAGATCTGGGAAGTACCTATAATAGTTTAACTTATAAAATGGAGTCGGATTTTACAGGGCTAGAAAAGTGCCCAGAAAAAAAATGGAAGAGGCTTATTGTATTGTAAAGTTGTTGACACCACCTCATTCTGTGTAAAATGAAAGCTGTTAGGATGACTATGTTTTCCACAGAAAAAAGCTGAAAATCCTTTTATCTGTCCTATCTTTTGTTCTTGAATTCTGTCGTAAGTTTGAACTACCATTTTTTAAAATAAATTAATCCTTCTTATCCCAAATGAATCACATCTGCTGCTTTCTGTGTATCTGGAATGGTAAATACCTGTAATTTTACTCTCGCATCGAATCTATTAATCAATTGAAATTTAATAACAGCATGGCATTCAGATGAGGCCATGTATTTTTACTTCATTTCCTGAGAGGCCTCAGTGGCAGTATATATGGAGATAAGTCCTATAAGGAAAGACATCTACCTGATTAATTTCTAAATTCACTAGTGACCATAGTCTAAATTTCTTGCAAGTGTAAACTAATAGAATAGGCCAAATTTACTTTAGGGGAAAGCAGAAAAAAGTAAGCTGAACCTTCCTGGCTGTTCATAGCAGGGATGTTTACAAACAGAGGTTCTAATACGTTAAGAATGATATAAGGTCCCCTAGAAACATTGTTAATGAAAGTGCAATTTGCACAAGCTGGTAGCTGTAGCAGGCACACAGTTTATTCCTCTGGGAACCTGGGTGCTCTAGATCTGTCCTGACAGATTTTGCAGAGACGTGGTGGTAGTAGTGCTTTGTAACCCATCAGCAGACATTAACTCACCAGACGAAAGCAGCCAGAGCTGACAGAAGGCTGCAGCTCCTTTAAGACGAAAACTATCAATTTTTAATTACCTTGCACAGCAGTATCTTGCAATTGTGTTTTTATTCTTCAGAGAGGCTGCTTCTTGTTAACTCTCCAAACACCAAAACCTGACACAAACAACAGAATGAATTTGCTATCCCTAAAAACCTAAGAAGTGTGAATCTCTTGGGGCTGCCCAGTTTCACTTCCCATGGCTGTTTGCCGTGTATTTGATTACAAATCATTCTTATGGATGGAGCGGTTATTTATGTTGCCTGTTGCCAGTCAAATTCCTCCCAAAGGGCTTGGTACACGTAGAGAATAGGAGGAGCATCAGCAGCATTACAGATTGCAGCAAACAGGTCTCATGCAAAAGGCAGGAAAGCAGAAAGGAGAAAACTTTAGAGAAGGGAAAGAGGAAATACAGTGATCAAGAGAAAAGTATGCTGTTTGAGGAAGAAAAGACATAAACTGACAATCAAGTACATCAGGTGTTACACAAGCAACATGTCTCGGCCAGCGGGAAGAAAGCAGGAGTACCACAAAATAGTAAGACATTTTTGTAATGTACAATTAAAATTGTGCATGGATTAAGAATAAGCTATTATTGTATTGATCTGTTTTATACAGTCATATTTCTGAATAGCCTGAAAGTACTGAAAGGATGGGTATGAGTCTGCCAGTATGAGAACAGAGGAGCTGGTAGTATTTATGGCTACAGTGGGACCCCCGTGTGAGCTACTAACAAACTCCTAGCTATTAAGCAGTGACATAAAAAAGCCTGTCCATAGGACTTGGAGTCTGTTTGACTCCAAGCAGTAGTACTGAGATTTGCTCTAGGGGCCTTCATATCTCTCCAGCTACCTTGCCTCTGACATGAAATGATTTTCAGACAGTCCTGACAGTTAGAGATGGTTCCCCTGGGACCGCAGCACACCTGGTACTCACTGTGTGCCTCCCGCATAGCAGACCACGTCTTCTTTTGGAGGTTATGTTGCAGGAGCAGGGGTCCTTCTTCATCCTCCTAATGTTGCATTTTTTCTATGCACAGGGAATGCACCATCACAGGATCTCAACATCTGGCTTTAAGGCCAAAATCTGACTCATGGGGAAATAATGGTAAAACTATAACCATTGTCTTTGAATGTTGGCTTTGACCATTGATCACATAGCACAGAATTCTGTCAAGTAGGCGTTATATAGACCAAACCTTACTTCTTTTTCTTCACTTCATGTTAATATTCTCATAAAGCTCCAGCAGTTGTTTTAAATGTACTGCATGCAAGATTTTCCCAAGAGGCCTTCTTAAACTGCCTGGTCACAAAAAGCAGTATTTTGTGCCATTAAATATAACAGTTATTCTCCTTCTTGTTCTCTGGCAGTGGTGTGTCTAAATATGAAAAATTCAGATAACAAATTTCCTCAGAACCTCCATCTGTGGTTGAAAATTTCTAACTGTTTAGGAATATTTTACCACAAGTCCAAAGAAACGAAGTGCCATAATGTGGAAATAAACCCAATAATAGTATTGTATCTTGAAGTGAATATGTTTGCATCTAAAAGTATAATTATGACACAAATACGTGTATACATGCATATAACAAACTGAAGAGAGAGGAAGTTGCTAATAAGGAAAAGACAATGTTGTGTCAATTTCTGAAAAGGGGGCAGAGGTCTCCACTGAAAAAGAAATAGAAGTATATAATATAATTAGAGTTATAATTAAAGTTAAGATATATAAGTTTATGGATTGCAAGCGTGGCTGATAAATACAATTATGTTGATCTGGTGTGCTTAAGTTTCTCTAATTTGTCTTATTACAAGACAGGCTTTTTGCTGAGACTAGAACAATACAGAACCTGTATGACATCCGTTTACTCCATTAAAAACTTGTTAACAAGAATTTGGCAGTATGCAATATTATTGTAAACAGCAGTTATCACCAAGGCGACTTTAGGAAATGTTCCCATACTACTTAAGATTTTGAGCAGTGACTTGTTAAAATAGGAACATTGATTAAACACCAAGCTTTTGATGCAATGGGAGCAGGAAGAGGTCTTTCCACCAAGCTGTTCTTCCTTTCCTTGTGTGATTTGTTCTATTTTTTTCATTGACATTCACTGCTATTTTTCCACAGGCTATAAACAAAAAGCACCTCTAGTCTGCCCACATGCCACACGCCTGTAGCACTTCCTGTAATTAATTCCTGTCCAAGAAGTTTAGTGAGAGGCAACCTAGCCTCTCCCCTAAAGGCCAGCTGCTACTCCTGCTAAATACAGTCAATTCTGCAGTGCCATGGAGGTGATCTGGCAGGGCAGGGAGGGAAGAAAACTTTCTTCCAGGTTGGTGCACAGCTAAAGATCCCAGACTAGTGCTAGGATCTGTGCAGGGATAAGCCTTTGACCTCTTCAGTTGCTCCCCTCGCTCCTTGGGCAGGTGGCTGTAATCCTCACCCATCCCCTTCATCTTGCTCATGTGGTGGAACTGTACCAACCATGTCTTCTGTATTAAGATACAGAAATAACGTCACAGTGAGATTGTGCAGGCATTTGGAGAGCTAGTATTGGTAGTGATTCAAGTTACTTGTGAAGTCTGATAAAGAAGGGGAAATGTCAATGGGACTGATTCTTTTCTATTCTGGTTGTTGTTATTCTTTACACTTGTGCTGAATCATAGTGTTTTTTCATTATTCTGAGGTAGTTTTTTTGTCTACTTTTTATTTTTTGGGGGAAAGCAGCTGGTGATCTGAATCAAATCAGCCATACCTTTGTCAAGGAACTGGAATTTCAGTGTATATACTGTTGTTCCTATTGTAAAAGGACTAGTAGCTTATTGCCTCTGTTATTCTTCCTGCAACTGAATGCTTGTTGTTAATCTTGGATGGCATTTGACAGCATATATATGTGCGGTTATAGGATGCAAGAATGCACCTGATGAAGTAGCTGTATCCCACGAAATGGTATTTCTGACAAGGAAGATCCCTCTACAGAGATTCAAATGATGATCAAGTCAGGTTCTGTCACAGTTGAATTGCAGATTACACTGATTACATGTCCATGGACAAAAGTTTCTTTATTAATGTAAATGCTATTTTTGCTTGCTTTTAATGCAGTAGCAGCTCAAAAGCGTGGAAAAGTTTGATTCTAGTTTGCTTCATTTTCAATTTCCACCTTTTCTGGCAGAGCAGAGAACTTTTTGTACTCACGTATGGGGCTTTGGTAGCCCAGCTGTGCAAGGACTATGAAAAAGATGAAGATGTCAACATCTGTTTAGATAGAATGTAAGTACTGCTTTAAATGTTTAACTTTATGGATAATGCTATTTGTCCACCTATACGTTACCTTTTGGCTCTATGTCTGTTACCTTATGAGTGCCAGCACTCTGTCTAGGATTACAGAGATCACGGGGATAAGTTTCACTATTCTGTCAACCGCAATAACACTAATTTGTGGATTAAGATCAATAGCTTTTGAATTCTCAGAAGAAAACTGTCAGAATTGTTTTGATAGCTTACACTTGTTCCTTGTTGATCCTTTGTTATGCTAATTAATAATATAAACTTCAAAATTTCATCTCCTATATCCATGTATTCAATTTCAACTTCCATGTTAACTTTCCCCTTCCATTTCTCTGTACCCATGTTATTTCAAACTAAGACAAGCTTTTTGTTTCTCAGGGGTATTTTTCTAGTTAACATGCATTTCTGTGTTCACTGTTGATGCGGCCTTCCTGTGGCTCCCTCTCATCTAGCTACACCGCAGTTTTGTGACTTGGACAGCTAAGAAGTAGTCACAATTCCAGGCTGTAGGGATTTGGCTTAGGTGACTCAGTCGATAGGCAGCCTCCTTTTGTAGTCAGTTGCTTTCTCCAAGGGTCTAATTCAGGTGTCTGACTTGGGCACCCCTGTGGGGTGGCTGTCTCCCTGGGTTAGGGGCAGACAGGTCTCTTGCCTTTAAAAGACCATGCAGCAATGAGCGAAATAGCACAAATGGACAATGAGGAACTGATTTTTACATGGATAACCTCTTTGAAAAATTAATATCCTATGTTCATAGGATCCTGTCATCTGATATTCGTAGGGATTATCATAGCAAAAATAATCATATCACAGAAAATCAGGAAGAAAAAACTTTTGAGCTGGTTAGTAAGAAGATATACTAAGATCTTTGGCAGAAGAGGAAGACTTGTGTTTTCAGGCAAAATTGACACGCAAAATGGATTTACAACAATCACAGTGGACAGAATATCTGACTACTTTACTATTTATCTGAAAGTTTGCAAACTATAGTCCGATAGCTATTGATGGAACTGAGTAAATAAAAACCTCATTGATTGGAAACAAGAAAAGTAATTTATTCACAAACTAAAAAGGGATGACATCCCTGAGATATTTATTTTCTATTCATCTCTCAGTTCTGATGAAGTTCATACATTTCAAAAATACACAAACTTCTTTGTGATGCTATGGTAGAAATTACTAAAGAGTAGTTTTGGAAGATGCGGAGATGTGTTTTGCTCTTTGTGTTTTTCTTATTATAGCTGTTTCTATAAAACCTTTTTGGTTTTGTCTTGATAAAGGCTTGATAAAGTAACGACAGGTGTCATTAAAGCAATATGGTCATCTTTACTTCTGTGAAGATGAAAACAGCCCAGCTTGAGGAAGAAATCTTATAGATTAGCAGACCTGTGATGGTTGGGGACACTATTCTTAGTTCTCTCACTATATATATGTACATATATAATCTGTAGTGAGAAGGGTGTTTTTCACTGCTGCAAATTTATTGCTGCTTGTCAGTTTATTATTCATTTGACTTGGCAAATCTAAGGCATAAAAGTTGAAAAGGTTCTAAGTAGTCTTGTACATCACCAATAAATACCTTGCTAACTGCTGATGACATATTTACCAATGTTATTGGTATTGATACTTGGGCAATAAATAAATATTTCATTGTTTTCTGATGCATGACATACAACTTCATGCTGCCAAAACCACTTTTTGGTCTTGTCATCACATTAGACATCAGATCACTTTTTGGCTTCTTGTCAAAGATGTGGTAGAAAATCAGTAAGAAACTCCATTGAGTTCAGGCTGCTTCTCTGAGGGTGTAGGGCCTCTGACAAACAGGCAGAGACTGCCAACATCCACATAAATAGAAAGGAAAAATCCCCTAAAAATATTTCTGAGTTGAGTTCACATTCTTTCATAACATTTTTGTTAATCTCTTTCCC